TAAGCCAAAACCGAGGAGAAGTAGACAGTGAAGGAAGGCGCGAAGCGAGTATTCCTCTTGCTCGTGTTTCTGTCTACATTGTATCTTTCAATAAAAGAATAATAAATCATTTAGGAGGCAGGCTTCGACCCTGCCTGTCAGGATTAGCCTAGGTCCAGGAAGATGCAATTCCAAGCAGAAAAAACCCCAGGATGCTGGATAAAAAATCTCCCCATACAGAAATTGAACTCGGGTCTTCTGCATACGACGGCACCTAGGCGCTACACCACTGACTGCGGTTTGTGCATTATAACCTACATAATATTACAGTTTTTGAGGTACAAGCTTCCTCCGCCCCTTCTGTCTGTCTGTCTGTCTGTCCGTCTGTCTGTCTGTCTGTCTGTCTGTCTGTCTGTCCGTCCGTCTGTCTGTCTGTCTGTCTGTCTGTCTGTCTGTCTGTCTGTCTGTCTGTCTGTCTATCTGATTCCAACACGCTGAGGGTGATTTCATCTACCCACCTAACAATTACGAAGAAAAAATATGTATTCTCTTTTTCATCTTCATTCATTGATTGACCAATACGGTTTTTTTTCGGTTTTAGTAAGAGTTCTACGCCACTTGCAGCACACAAATGCAATAAGTACTGAAGATTAGAGGTGTTACAAGAGAGTAACAAACACCCCAAAAAATGATAGATCTAGATATTTTATAGGAAAAAAGGAGCAGAACACATCAGAGTACCCACCAACCATCCACTAATAAGGTCTTTCTTGTTTCATATATATTGCAGACAAAATGTCCCCGCTTGGCGTTTTTCGTAACCCAAAAGTACAAAAATGGATGACTATCATGGGGATCGCTGTCCTCTGCTCCGCCAACGGGGCACTGGTAAGCTCTACCTCGGTGGACCGGAAAGAAATGGAAGCTGCCACAAGATAACTGTTTAGATATTGACTACAATTTTTATTTTTTTAAAGCAATTCATTTAGAAATATTTTACGACATGTGTGCTATCGATTCGACCAAATGACTTTCATGTGATGACACTTTTGATTGTTGTATGATTTTATAAAGAAAGCGTGGGTGCGCAACACAAGTATGAAGTGCTTAAGATTAGAGGAGAGAGGTGAAAACAGAGAGTAAAATATACGAAAAAAAAAAGAAGAAGAGGTAAGGACGAAACATGTTTGATAGGAAAGAAGGAGCAAACCACACGTGAGCATCCTCAAACACCCACGTATGATATATTGTACATCTGTTCAAAAACAGATCTATAACCAGGGCAGGCAAACATCGTTTTGCAAACCAAACCAGTTTTGGAATGAGCACCAAAAAAGCCCTGACTGAACCCGGTGGTGTTGAGCATAAGTGATTAAAGAATGGTTTGTAAAATTATGTCTACTTTTTTAAATATCTGTGAAATCACATTTTCGTCTTAAAATTATTTGTGAAGTCATGTTTTGGCTTTATCAAATGTGTAAAATTATGTTTTCTATCTACTGCTTCCTCAGACGTTTGGCGGTAATCTGCTGACCTATACAAACTCGTACTTCCTGGTAAAAGCTCACGATGACGTCACACACGTATCTGCTACTGTCCAGTCCTCATGGTTCTTCTTCTACTTCGTCAGCATCATCTTCTCCAGCAAAGGTCAGGGTCCTACACACACAAATGCACTTATATACACATACATGTCCACACATACACACATAGAAACAGACACACATACGAGCTCTCTCTCTCTCTCTCTCTCTCTCTCTCTCTCTCTCTCACACACACACACACACACACACACACACACACACACACACACACACACACAAACACACACTCATACACACACATGCTCAAACATATACATGTACAAACATACAAATCCATAAACATACATGATACGCAAATAAACCCAAATACAAGCACGTTGACTTTCAAGCACGTACCCTCACATACACATATTCGATATATATGCAAAAGTACTCGACATGCATAAACATACGTTCACACCCCCAAGCACACATAAAAGTATAAACATGTTAACACACACACACACACAAAGAAAATATTATGCCCATAGATCCTCGTAAGAACTCCAAACTTTAGCCTGCGATTCGGAACTTACATGAACTAGGACATGTACGCACCCTCGGAGTTTCAATTCTCTGTGTGGCTACATGTGGGTCGCATTATTCATAAAGGAAGTGTGGTTTTAACTTATTATGTTAAATACAGGGGCTCCGAATTTCCCATTAAGAATTCACTAGTTTTATCATTCGAACCTCTAACCATTATCCCCGTTGTTCTTTAATAAAGGAACGGAAAAAAAAAGAACAGAAGCTTTTGAAACTGACGGATTTTTTAAAAAAATGTGTAGAGTTTGAGCATCATTTCCAGGAAATACTCCTATTTTGACAAGCTTCTCATTTACGGTTGTTGTAAACGACCAAGACAAATTTCTCCCTGCGAGATGAATAAAGATTGTCATTGTTATTGTTGTTGCAACATTATTGTTGTTCTCAGTTACAAAGCAGATGAGGAAATCTTGGAGTCTACTGCTGGGGTGCGCTCTGTACGACACTTCCTACGTCATTGGCTACTGGGACGTGAAAGAATCTATCCCTCTGTTCGTCATTACGCGAGGAGTTATGTCAGGGCTTGGTGCGGGTGAGTGTTTGATTGTAAATTCATAAACATTATCATATTATTATAATATTGTGATCGTTTCATGTCCCATTTATTGACGTGTAATAGTGTTACTTTGTAGGAGACTTGATTTATCCTTTACTCTTAATGTATACTACTCAAAACAAGTTGGGGACCACTACAGTTTTCACTATAGTATGTTTGAGACTGTGACAAACAAACATTGAGAAGTTACGTGAATACGTTGATGTCATTGTAAGGAAGGGTTATCGTTGTTTACAATGATGAACAGATTTGACATATGTCAATTTTCTGTAAAATCGAACCTGTTTTTGACAATCACTCACGTGATTTTCAGTAAGTGGTATGGGTTAAAAACTAACTCAAGGGAATTCACGCTTCCTACACTAATGCTTGAGTGGGTTTGACGGTGTTAGGGGTATTTATTGTGGGCACATTAAGCGATTTTTAACAATGCCCCCAAGAGAGACGGCCACGTCAGAGCAGCATCGACCGGGGACGAGCCCTTGTCTGGCTCCACGAAGGTATGGCTGTCCGTGAAGTGGCATGACAGCTTGCCGTGGGTCACTCAGTGATCATCAGACTAAGAGACTGGGATGCTGCAACTGGAACTGCTTTTGAGCGAAGGCTGTCCGGACAGCCACGTTGCACCACACGACAAGAGGACCGGGTGACCGCCAGAACAGCCCTGGCAACTGGAACCTGCACAGCCCGTCACATCAGACAGCAGGTGGTACCCCCAGGAAACGTTGGAATCAGCGACCAGACCATTAGAAACCGGATGCGTGAGATCCAGACGACCAGCAGTCCGGGTTCTACCGACACAGGCTCACAGGATCGCCCGCAGAACCTGGTCCGCCCAGCAACTGAGGTGGACACGCCCACAGTGGTCTACTGTGCTCTTCACAGATGAGTCCAGGCTCACATTATCCTTCAACGATGGCAGGATCCGTGTTTGCAGGCGTCCTGGTGAGCGCTTCCACGACGACTGTGTACAGGAGCATGACCGGTATGGAGGAGGCTCCGTTATGGTGTGGGGTGGGATTGGACTCAACCACCAGACCCCCTGCATCGCATTCAAGGCACTCTGACGGGTATCCGCTACAGGGACGAGATTTTCCGCCCCATTGCAATTCCCACTCTTCGGGTAATGGGCCAGGGCGCGATACTTCAGGACGACAACACCAGACTTCACCGCGCTCGAGTGGTGGATGACTTTCTGCAGCAGCAGCACGTGATCAGGCTTGGCTGGCCAGCCCGATCACCGGACCTTAGTCCCATTGAGCACTTGTGACCATCAGCCAACCCCGAACAATGTGGATGAACTCTTCAACATTTTGGACCAAGAATGGCAAGCCATTCCACAACTGACATTGGGAACACTTATTCAGTCCATGAGACAAAGATGCAATGACTGTTTTCTTGCAAATGGTGGCCACAGGCGATTTTTGGCCCTATTGATTATGACGGTTGTGATGTGAATTTTAAAAACATGAGTTATGTCCTTCAACAACTGAAATTACCCATTTTCATTTTTTTTAAATGTGCAAAATGTCGTTTGCAAAAGGTGGTATTATGAATGAAGACCCCTCTCAAACAATTTTGAACCGTGTCATGTTTTTCAGATTTTTGTACTATGTGTGACTGTGTGACTTTAAGTGATCCTCAACTTTTTTTGAGTAGTAGCCTGTATATTCTGACTGGGAGCACCACAGACCAACAGCAGAAAAACTATTTGTTTGTTTGAGTAAAGAGCAGCACATCGACACGATAATAATCATTTAGTGCAGAGGAAAAAGTAAGACAAACAGACAGACAGACAGACAGACAGACAGACAGACAGACAGACAGACAGACAGACAGACGGACAGACAGACAGACAGACAGACAGAAACAGCAAAATGGAAAGTAAAGAAGTAGGACCTACCATTGGCACCATCAAACAATCCACTCCGAAAAACTAAGAAGATAAGATGTCTAGAGAGATATAACACGGCTGCCCTTACACACAGGAATAGAACTCACGTCATTAGCGTTTAAGGCGAAGACACTAACTGCTACTTCATACGCTAGCGTCGCCTGTGGTAAAAAGGTTTGGAGCTTTACTGTCAAATGCAGAAGATGTTGGATCGATTCCCGTGCAGGTAGGGTTTTTTTTCTATCGAATATCTCAGTCTGCTTGCTGGAACGTTGAATCCTTCGCAGAATGGGTTGGCCTTGACAGGCTGGGTCGAAGCAGCCGCCTCCTATATAATCTAAACTGTCTCGATGTGGTAGTGAAACATCTTTTCACAAGCAATGGCACCCTCCCCACCCCGATTCCCATCCCAAACCAACCCCTTCTCCCAAACTAGGTCACATGATGGCCGTGAGCTCTGGGTATCTAATCGAGTGGACAGGAGGCAAAAACCTGGGCTTCCTCAGCTCTATGGCTCTCGCCTCCACCAAAGGAAGCATTTTCATGAACCTACTCATCACCTGGTACTTGAACCCGGGCAACCTGGCACCAGATCTGGACCAGGACCGGACCAAATATTTCCAGCAAGAACAGATTCTGGACAGGTTCGTGAGTGTGTGTGTGTGTGTGTGTGTGTGTGTGTGTGTGTGTGTGTGTGTGCGTGCGTGCGTGCGTGCGCGCGCGCGTGTGTGTGTGTGTGTGTGTGTGTGTGTGTGTGTGTGTATGTATTTTAAATGTGGTTTTACGCTCCCATCGACACAATTTGGATTATCTAGTAGACGGGCTTCCGGTCCTGTCTATAAGGGACAGCTCAGGCCCAGAGGGATACTCTATTCCAGCAGGAAGGCGATATATTCTAAAAAATGCTCCTACTTGAGTATCGGACTCGGTTCTCCTGTGTGTGTACTTTACTTTAGTTTAATGGAAAGTTATTTACATGTATGTTTTAGCCTCTATTCTTTTTTTAAGACCGGCGTCTGTGGTGTAGCTGTTAAACGCCTCGCCGTTGCACACTGGAGACCGGGTTTGATTGCCAGTTGGGGACAATTTCAGTCGTGTATCTCGGTCTCTCTGTGAGGATGTTGTATCCCTTTCGGCAAGGGTTGTTTTTGCTTTAGTAGACGTGTTACGGCGCTCGAAACTGCATAAGGTCATATGAGCGCCAGAGGATTAGAGGCGTTACAAGTGAGTAAAAATCATAAAAGAGAAGGAGGGGAGATAAGGACGATAGATGTTTCATAGGAAAGAAGAAGCAAACCACACCAGAGCACCCGCCACCCACCCACCAGCCCGGGTTGGCCTTGACAGTCAGGGTCGGAGTTCGCCTCCTAAGTGAGGTAAATTGTGTCGACCGGGCGTATGTGTATAAAAAAAGATTAAGTGGGTGAGTATGTGTTCGTGCATGTGTGTGTGTATGTGGGGGGGAGGGTGGGGAGTGTGTGTGTGTGTGTGTGTGTGTGTGTGTGTGTGTGTGTGTGTGTGTGTGTGTGTGTGTGTACGCCGCGCGCGCGCGTGTTTGCCCGAGTACTACAATATACAGGAGCGAAGGGAGTACGTACATGGTATATTCTTTTTTTGTTGGTAGTTTCAACTCGAACAAGTGTCTCTCTTTGCTTATCGTATCAAACCTTTCCATTTTTTTCTCATTTTGGTCTTTTCTCCTTGTTTTCTTTCCTATTGCCTCACGTTTATATTGAGAGACATATCATTTATCTCCCATTCGTGACCCTCATCATCACGTCACCTGACAACATTAGTGTGCTGGGGTTCGATAGCTTTCTCAGTCAGTCGACAGTCAGTCAGTCAGGTGTTGCCCACCCTTTAGCCTCAAGTACATTAGCCCACGCTTCTCAATCAGCACCCACGATCGTCTCCCTATTGTTCCCCTCCCCGATCCCCGCTCCCTTCTTCCAGCTCCCTGATCGGTATCACCTTATTCGGGGGCTGCCCAGTTTGTCACAAGCCCAGTTTGTCACGAGACAGACTACAGATTGTCACAGGCCCAGTTTGTCACAATTTCATTTAAGTATTTGCGTAGGCCTGATGATGACAGTCATAATAACAACACTTTAACACTGCAGCCGTAACTAAAGTTTTTTAAAAATATTCTCCACCTTCAAATTAGTGTTGTAAATATAATCCCTCTTAAATATCAATTCAGCTTCTGTTGTTCAATATTTCTTCCTTTTTGTATACAAATCAAAGCAAATTGTGACAAACTGGGCCTGTGACAAACTGGCATGCTTCCCCTAATTCTCCTTTGTTATTTTCCCCGCAGTGTTTATGTGCCTCATTTCCCCTGTCTATTCCCTAAGGAATGTCTACCTGTGTGTAGTGGTGGGCAAAATCCGAATAACCGGATAATTCTCAATGAAACATTATCCGAATCCAGACTCTTAAACTCTCTTCCCTAACCCGTTTACCAAAGTGGGTGCACCCATAATTTATTGTTGAAGTGGTTCTAATCCATTTGCTGAAGCGGTTCTTAACGCATAATTGCCGAAGAGGGGCACTAACATAATTCTAAATTTGTCAAAGCGACTCATTGCCCAGCCCTTCCCGTGTTTCTCTTGTCGACGGATGGCACACAATGTTGATTACCTGGATGGGCCTGTAAAGACTCCTGCATGTTTAAGTTTTGAGTAGCCGACATTAAATGAACGTTTTGCAACACACGCACAGACTACGCACGCACACACACACACACACACACACACAC